GGGTCCATACCTACGACCTCCGGATTGCGAGTCCCGCATGCTAATCGCAGCAGCAGCAGCAGCATCATCCCTGTTCATTCCAAAGCCCTCTCAAAACTTTCATGTTGATGTGCACAGCGATCACGACGAGGCTGGCAGTTGGGGAGTTCAGACAATGATCCGCGAAGTTTCTTTCGCTTGCTCGAGCCACCACGAGCAGACATCTTAGGTTGTCACCCCGAGCCCCCAGATTGCGCGCTGCAGTCTGACACAGCATTCGCCGTGGACAAAGAAACCCTCTCAGTGCAGGAGGCGTAATCTGAGCAGCGATCGTAAGCGGAACACAGATAGCGACCCGATCGGCTTAGCGCTGACAGACCGCTTATCTGGTTTAGTTACAAACTTGTTTGGCACCGACGACTTAGCAGTTCAATTACTTTTTTTAATTTAATTTACCGGGGGGGGGGAGGAGGGAGAGAATTGGGCTAGTGTGTTTTATCTTCTGTTTGCCGTTTATAAATGACTATCGGTGAACTTGGACGAGAGCAATGCAGCGTGGAGAGTTTAGACTCACGCGAATGAAAGCGGAGTAAAAAGCCTCAAATTATACATAAACCTTGCCTGCACAATAGTTCATAGGCAGTGATGATTAAAGGTTACAATTCATTTAATTATACTGCTATTTGGTTTATTAAAGTACACTTGAAGTATTTCCAAGAGGGAATTTGTTCTAATAATGAAGCATATTTTAGACAATTATATTTGAAAGGCAGCGTGTAATATGAAGCATACGGTACGTAAAAGCATATTCGTGGGTTTGGATTGGTTTTTGCGAGGACGTTTTGTGGTTTTGTCAGTTCGGTGAGACAGAATTGCACTACTCCTGCACCACATTATCCGCCAAAGAGCTAGAAATCACAGCACTCAAAAACACCTAAACTCTAACGGAATTGGGGAAGCTGACGGATTATGATGGTTATCACCACAATGGACCTGCTATCCTGAGTTCGACGGCTCGAAGTCCCCCACCTCATCCAGCAGTAGGCATGGCTATACCCCAGTCGATTGGCAGGTTGTCTGTGGTGGGGTAAAGTGTGGGTACACCCGCCCCCCCCCCCCATCTTCCTCTGGAGGTCTTTAGAACTTATTCTAGTGGAGGCTCTTCTGCCAGCTATGTTTGTGAGCAAGGCCATACCGGGTCTGCACATTTACCAAATAGAAATTCAATATTATGAAGTTAGTTTAACACTGAGGCTTTCGCGACCAATATTATTCATAATAAAGGTTTTTGGGTTATTTATAAATGTGTCGCAACCCTCCACCACCTGACACGGCCAATCAGTAAAAAAAGTGTCACGTTGATAAAAGACAAATAGTTCACTACTTTAGCCCACCGGTGTGTTGAAGAGTGAATCCACAACAATGACAGTTTTTTTAATTTCAACATCATCATCAGCCATGATCGATTCGATGTTGGTCGAAGGACGACAAAAGCCATCAACATCTAGCCGCACTACCATTGGATGAAAGATATGTGACCATATTTCACCACGCTGGTCAGTGTGGGTTGGTTATAATAACATTTGCAACCAATATCACCCAAGCTCCCTGCAGCATTAACATCTCACTGTAACGCATCTTGCTTGTTTAGCGCATGGTCCATTTATGACCTTCAGACCCGACATCAACTATTTTGGCTTGTGCTTCAAGTTAAATTCCTGGCCAGTGTCGTGAACCGTGGTCAGACAACAGCCGACAACCCACCCATGACCGGCGTGATATGGAGAAAACTATCATCCAGCAGTGGATCGAGAATTGCTGAAATGTATTAATATCTTTTACACACCAATACCATTCACAGATTGCATCACTGGGTATACTTTTGCGCGATAATGTGTGCTTACAAAATGAAGTTGACCATACAAATAACTGACATGAGCTTTTTTAATAACCGTTCATTAAAACCTAAACTTTTTCATTGATTAGATTAAATTGTCCTTAGTCCTTAAATTATTGCAGAACTGTACTATTTGTAAAAAGGATTTCAAGTTTTTTGCGAGGGTGGGAACCTTATTTTCTGGCCAATATGTGGCCTCCAAGACTCGTTGCTTGGTTTTCAGGAGCCGAGACTTTATAATGCATGTGCATCATCCAATGCACTTTGTTCTTTAGTTGCTGGGTGACCAACGTCCATTTATCAATTTCGTCGGGTGTTGGAGGCAGCCACCACTGCAACTCCCACTTCACACAATCGGGGCGAGTTTGAGCTAAGGGTTAAGGAGTTATCTAAAAATAAATGACGCTTGTCTCTTAGTTCTTAGAAGTGAGAAAGATTAGTCACCATTACCAGAAGGTAATGTATCAAGTTTGTTTGACAATACTGAAGGCGTTTATTTAAACACATTTATTCAACGCAGCTGTAAATATATTTGATTTGCAGTCCTCGCTGTTGGCATCCATTTTGACTCCTAGCTATGAGTCGGAACAATCTGAACGTGTAGTGGCCAGCCACATAAAATTCCCCTCGTACGTATGTTGAACTTCTTTCACATCGTACATATGCAACAGTGCTTATTGGAGGTGTGGGGGGAGGACAACAAACTAAACACAAAAAACTGTTCTAAAAAATTTGTTTTCAACCTAGATTTAAAAGTGCATAGCTCCAGTGGCTTCCTAATATCAGAAGGAAGAGTGTTCCAGACGGCCGCAGATGCGCATCTGAACTCGCGTGATGCAGTGACCGTCTTCATTTGATGGCGAGCCAGAAGCCGCTGCGAGGAGGAATTGAGTGTGTGATGGTTTTCGCTCCTTCACGTGAATTTACATTTCAGCAAACAGAGGGAAAATATCCCCCCAAGACAGCGGTCTCCATTACGTGGTCCGCAAGGCCGTAGATAGTGGCCTCCATAGCTGCCCATTGCACAACTGTTTTTTTGTTATTCAAAACCCACCAACACAGCTGGCTATTGAATGAATCGGCCGACTGGTGGCAATGTTTAGAGAGAAACATTTTATTTTAAAAATGTCTATTTTAATTGGCCATGGTGGTCTGCGAATCCATAAGAAGTTTAGTATCCACGATCTTAAATTATTTCATACGAGCAGCAAAATACACGACTTTATTGAATTATTTTAAAAAGTTATTTTAGATATACGGTGCTGTATTTATATAAAGTCCATTATAACAATCCCATTAATAGGTGTTCAATTCAATCGCAAACTTTCCCTGCGATAATTCCTTGCTGATTAGTGCAGAAACCACAGTTCACATAACAGTTTGTACCACTCAATATAGCAGTGCATTTATATGCAAAGGAGCCGCATTACGAATGCATGAGGAATTAACAGAAGAATTGTGTTTCCATTTAGGCGTTCGCAAAAAAGTGTCTGCTATTTCAGAGGGCCCTTTAAAATAAATAATGCCTCCTTTCTTCCTAAATTCGTCTCTCCACACAAAATGCAACAGTATATTTTACACAACCCACTGGGCACACGGCCTTCTGGGAGTGCATAATGTCAACGGCATTGGTTCAACACGAGCAAATCTCTGGATCGGTTTCGACATCAAGTGTGTAATCGGTAGTAAGGCTTGCTTGAACCAAATGCTGGTGAACTGCCAGCTGTGTATAGGCAAGGAAACCTCTCTCTGTAAGAAATTGGTCCTAGTATCATGCAAAACTATATAATATAGTACACAAAAAATAATAATGTGTCGTCATTTTGGAAATTTTTTATAAAGAAATTAAGTCATTCGAATAGCAAGCTGAACACGGGCGCGCTTTTTCTCATTAGCGTTACACATTTCAATGCGTTCACTCTTATTTTTTTACACTACAAGGCTGTGAATTAAATAATGAACCCCGAACACCCTGGTCACATGTGCGCTGTGTGCATATGCGTAAGCATGTGCACCGGGAGTTAAAAGAGGTTAGCATTTTAGCAGGCGAGGTCTTCCAACTAATTGTCTACCACTAGTGGGAGCCATTTGCCGGGCACATGTCCAAGTTCATGGATAACTGCAAAACTACACTTGGCATTGAACAAAATAGCACGAATTAAAATCGGTTAGTGTCAGATGCCGAACAAAAAGACATGCCCGTTGACACAAGGGTTGTTTGCTTTAACCCGAACAATAAATGAAATGTACAGTTTTAATAAGTTGTGTGTGTATATATTACACATATATGCTGTACACAAAAATCAAGCCTCATGTTATTCTCGTTTTATTGGGTTCCTATAAAATAGTCCGTTACGTACAATAGTACAATCATTAACGTTTGCTCATGTTATAGAAAATTAATCATACTAATCGTGAACCTGTCTTTGCAGTTATGCGAAAGGCCTTTCGTCCGAGTCAATGTGAGAATACGAATTGCACAGTGTGGTTATGTCCTGTGTGGTTAACACATCTGCAAAGTATCAGATTCTATTTAATCGTCTGCTATTCACGTTATACCTTCATTTCTGAAACGCAACAATTCACAGCACTTTGTCAATGCACTGCTGGATGAAGGCCTCACTCCCCAGACCGTGTCGGTCATCGGAGGCTGTTTGACCATACTTCACCACGCTGATCAGTGCCGGTTGGTGCAGGGAGGGGTCCCCAAGACCGTTTCAGACAACATTCGCTACCGGTGTGAGCCGCGGTCAGGAATCACACTCAGGTCATTGGGTTTACAGCGCCACACCACGAACCACTGCACCGCTTGATTGCAACACACACTGCCACATTAGGGTAATTAAAATGTCAATTTGGTCGACTAATTAGTGGTGAAAGCATAGTAATTAGTGTCTATGTCTATCATTTGCAGATACTGCGGCTCATCTGAAACCCAAGGTATGCTACAGCTTTAAAAATAGTTCACACGAAGTTTGTAACATTTGCCATGCAATTTCCACGTGTGCATTTCTCAACTTACATTATGCGTTGTTTTTTTTCATAACCACGTGCCAACAAGAAACTGAAACCAATAGGACGACAACAAAAAACGAGGGCAAAGACGCATCGTTGCAGCACTTACCCGCAAAGTACCGAACAACAGCATTAGCCGCAGAAGCAGCAGCAGCAGCAGCAGCAAGCTTGCGCGAGAACTCCCATCCACCGGCCCACGTACAAAAAGTGACCCAAGTTGCACACGGGCAGCAATGTTATGCCACCGTCTCCGCGGTTTCACGCGCGCGCGCGCACACACACAGGCACGCAGACACGCGCGCGTGAACCTTCGCACAAAGCGGGGCTCGCCGCTCTCTCTCTTTCTCGCTGTTCTCTCGCTACTCTCTCTCTCGCTGCACGGCGGATCTCGGCCGGAGCCGTAGACGCTCGCTCACTCGCTCGCACAGCGCGCACGCTGCCTCCGCTCTCGCGGCAGCGGCGAAGCCAACGGAGGCGAGCGAGGGAGCCCCCGCGCGCTCTTCCCCCGGCGTGAACCATTTCCATCGGCGCCCTAGGGGGGTGGTGGTGGTGGGAAGGTGGCCAAAGGAGTGCCCTTGATAAACGAGCGTCAAGCATTCCATCTCAAAATCTATCAGCATCCCCCCCACCCGCCCACCCCACCTAAAGTCCAGTCAGTGCCGTTTCTTATTCAATATGTCTATCGGGTAAACAAAGGTTACGCGCAAAGCCCGGCTCGGTTGATTGAAACGGTGTTTGGCCTGACAATAGAGCTCTGGCTCTACCCTGTGGAGTTGGTATAGATGCAGGCAACTGAAGTGTTGTTCCATTGTAACAAAAGCATGACAGCGTTCGCGGCAATCACATTGTTTTGTAAGGGACTGCAAACGTGCACATGCGGAGCACCGCTGCTGGATGACGGCCTTACCACTGCAGCGTTCATGCGACGAGCTGAATAAACAAACAAACCCGTGGTCATTGTCATCTGCACGCAAGAACGTGGGTGCTATGAGCGAGTGAGGTGGATGCTGCAGCATTGCATGCGGGAACCGAAAGTGAAAATAATCAATGGGCAATGCAGCTTTCGTTCATTGTACACCGTTGCTGTTATTCGGACCGTACTTCCATCGTCAATGTCTTTCTGCCTTAGAAAACATCAATAAACGCGTTCCTTTAAAAAAAATTACAATTCTTATCACAACTATATTAATATATCGTTAGAAGTTGTAACAAAACATTATTTCATGAACATTTGTTTAATTATTTACTCCCCTTGGCCACGATAAAAATACCTTTCACACTTAGTTTTCATTTTTATAATAATAAAAAACCCATGAACTGTGAAACGAGTTTATATACTCTTAGGTTTTTTCGGTGAAGTCACCTAGGTAAAAAAACAACAAGTTGAATTGTCATGTCTCCGAAATGAGTTCCCATAAACCAGCTTATGTAACTATACCATATGTAGTTATTTACTACTCCCATATATTAAAGCTCTTACATACAAGCGAGTAATGGTGGTGGGCTGTTGCTACTTTATAATGAAGCATTGACTTCTAAGTTATTTAAAGAATCCGTGTGCAAGCACAGCACGTGACTTTTCAAACTCGAATCGCATCGGTGCATATTTTTGTACAATTTTACAGACAATGGCTCATTATGAGCAGGTTGCCATGAGCCCGCTGGCAGTAAGAATTCTGAATTCCTGACGCTAAAAAAGGAGCCTGGAGCAATGCATTTCCCCAAAACACAACAAAAGAAGCCGTCAGTGTCTGCAGCCAAGGCATCGCAGCACATTCTGGTCCTCTAATAACTGGGAATACCGCTCCTGCTCCCTCGCCTGCCCATCGCCAACCCATACCGACCAACGTGGTGAAGTATGGTGAAGTATGGTGAAGAATTTAGATTTATTAATTTATTTCATTCAGACCCTGTCTTTCCGACAGACCTGTTCTTCACCTGAGAACGGCTGCTTGCGTTGTGGCCGAAACGTCGTGAGAATTATTTTATTATGTTTTAGTTTTATTATTTTATTATTTCCCTTCTACGTGACTTTCCCGAAAGAACCAAAAAGATATGGTCAAGAATACAAAATAAAAGCCCTGATGACCGTTGGTGGATTGGTTCTCAGATGTCGCTCACCACTTGCGTTAGCCGTGGCTGGGAATTGAATTTAGCTCGCCGGGTTCATAGCGCAGCGCATTCACCACTGCGCTAGCGCTGCGTATACCATACTAGCGTATAAAAATTGTATCATAATACTTTCATTTCATATAGCGTCATTTATGCTAAAAGCATCCCATAACGCAATTAAACAATGCAATCATATTAACGATTTTTTAAATATATATTTTTATTTTAAAGAAATAAAAACTGTAAGAAATAAAAAAATAACTTCACAATTCAAAATGTGCAAGTCCCTCGCATTGGTAACCGTGATGAATTACTGCAATTCTAAACGTGCGTCGATGATGCCATTGGTGGCATCAGCGGTGCCGCGCCGGCCGCGTGTAAGGGAAGGCAGCTGGCCGCGAGTGGCCGAACGGGGCTCGCCCTGGCTGCTACGACACTCACTGTCACACTTGGCTGGTAAGTGGAATTACAAGACTCTACCAACTAACGGCTTTCGATAAATCATAACGATGAGCACTTTGCTATAGAGTGCAGCGCTACGAACCCGGCTAAAGCGCAGGAGTTCAACTCGCAGCCAGCGACGAATCGAATCAGACCCAATCTTGCTCAAACCATACCCTGCACCAACTGAGTATCGTAAAAGAAAATGGTCTTTATCTTTTGGCGACTTAAAAAATGTTGTATATGCTGTAGCATATATTTTTGAAATGCAATTTAGATGTCCATCAAGAGGTGCTACTCACAAGCAATCACAACCGAGCAATAACTCCACTCGTCATGTTTTGTGCTCTGTCAGATCAGGTTTAAGCCTCCTCTAAATACAATTTGCATTTTTGGAAAAGGGCGTGTGTTTGCTAATTTACTCGTTTATTTCTCATCCTGTTACTTCTGTTGATCGTTGAGTGTACAAGCGCAACGACGAACGGCCGCGTCGGTGTTCGCGGTTGTGCCGTGTGAGCTGCGCGGTGCGGTTTCTCGAAGTTGTGACTTGCCGCTTGTTGTTCGGGGCACGATGTCCACCATTCCACGCGTCTCGCTCAATTCAACAACTCTGAAGATGCTGGCCAGCACGTGGATCAAAACGTTGGACCTTGTGCCGAGCAACAACAAGGGGGAGCACGACCCCGAAAACACTTTGAAGAGAATGACCGGCATCATTCAATTACCGAATGCGAAATAGTCGTATTGCCGTCCACTGGCCAGGCGGACCAGTATAACCAAAATCCGTTGCCGACATCTCCGCTGGCCACCGCACACAGCAGGGACCAGCGCCTCGCACGATGCGCGGTTGTGCTTTCCTTCCGTGGATTTCGACTGGCTACAGTTACTGTCACCGGTGGGCCACATGCGAGACTTCAGGTCTATTTGGGGGGTGGGGGGGAGGTGGTTGCTTTCTCAGCGGGGCAGCCCAAGCCAGCTGGGACAAGTCCTGGGAAAGCGGAGTGTCCCCCCATTAGCGAGCTCGGCAGCCTCAATATCATTCTCACAGCTTGCACGGGGGGGGGGGGGGGGCTCCCAGCGCTGCATTTATTACATCTGCATCAATGTGCAGCACTGGTGGAGAATAGGAGTTGAAGCAAGAGGATTTGGAGGGCTCGCGGGGTTGGGGTGCACGGGGGGGGGGGGGGGGGTATGGGGAGGGGAGCTCTGATCAAATGAATGTCTGGGCCCTGACTGTGACTGCAGCTTCCTTCACACATCAGAGAGCAGGGGGGGGGGGGGCTTTCAATGCCACACAGATGGGACCACTTTCTGACGGAATGGAAATGAGGGCCTTGCCGCAAAAAAAAAGTCAGCAGATTGAATGCGTCTCCCACTTCCCAACGGTCCACGGTGAACAGACGTGAACACGTCGCTCCACAGTGAAACCCGTAGGCCGCCGTAATGCATTCAAACCGCCCAAAGAATCGGTGCTAAGCCCTTGCATACCCGTTACAATGAGCGACCCCTGTTACATATTCCTCACAACGTGGAAGCAACGGTGGAAGTGGCGGTAATGTACAATACCTGAACAACAAAAGATGGCCATGGTACTAGATTTAGCGGAGACAAGGAAGCCTTTGCCGGTGCAATTTGCGAATACAATGGATCACTTGCTGCTTGACTACCTTATTTCAGACTTATCGTGTGAGTGTGGTGGCACAACATTTGGCGAGACTAAAATACACACCTCCATTAAGAACCAGCGTGTGCATTTGCAAATCCACAAGCTTATTTAGAGGCCAGCAATAACTATATTAATTAAAATCATTCATTTTATAATCTAACGTTTTCAGCCCCCCTATACACAGCTCCTCATATGCATCTAAAAGGATAAAATAAAAGCATCATAAATATTAAACGCCACAACATTTACTTAATTTTTGTTACCACCATCTCTGTAAACACCAAAAAAAAATCACTGCTTGAACTAATTCATGAGCAAGCACCAATGATATGTTTTTTTTCATTAAACATCAGAAATGCAGTCTTCAAACACTAATACTGGCAAAAGTAAAACCAACTAATTTCTAAATTATAAAATTAGTTGCGGGTCAGCCAAGCTTTGCGGTAGCAATCGTTGCTCCCATCCCTTAACCACGGGTTGCATTCTTCTGCCTAAAGCACGCTGGGGATCGCATGAGGGTGCCCGCATGGAGATTAAAGCTCTCCCCGCATTAGCAAATATTCACAATTGCATTTGACCACGACTTGCATTGTAAGGGGAGATGACCATACCGAGCTATTTCGTAAATGTCAGCGGCACACCAAGGTATCTGCGCTCTAAAACCCACCCTTTTATTTTGATGGAAATTAGAAGCATACTCCCCGCCGTCTTTATCTGGGGGATTTATGAGCTGCGTGCAGATTTGTAATCATAAATGTCACTGCGAGCATTGAACACGCGGATTTCACAAACCAGCTGTGATATTTTCTAAGGTTTTTCTCCGCTACCTCTGTTAATTTATGGTTAGACAGAAAGACGTAAATATGAAAACTGTGCTTGTATATCTATTGAACAAAAAACAAAAGCACATTCAAA